AAAATCTGTTCAGAGATGGTAATAACAGTAAAAGAGAGCTGAGAAGATGCTGCCTACTTATGTGGCAGATGTGGGTTCTTTTACAATCTAAGAGAGAAAATCCATCCTCTTAAAGAATAATAATATTAGAGGGGAAAAATAAAAGTAACCTTTTGTTCCTAAGGGTGCAGTTAAAATGTGAGCATAAAATATTTTCAGACAGGGAAGAACTGTAGAAAAAATAAACTGTGATGAAAGACATGAAATATGCTATCAGAGTATTTTTTTTGAAGTCCTCAAATACAAATTTCTTTTCTCACTGAAATGTGTAAGACTGACACTGAAATATCTTTTATTAAATTATTTGCTTTGTCCCTCATTTCACCTATTTCAGGGTTTTTAATCAAAGTTTGCTACAATCATTGACTTAAAAACATTTCCTCTCTTCTGTGTGGACATTTGATTAAAAATTGCATCTACAGGAATTTTGAAGTTTCCATGACTATGTAGCGGATATGTTTTTCTACTTAAAAAAATGGAAACAATTGAATGCATAGCTTCTGAAATCTCAGCTAATTCCACAGATTTTTAGCTATCTTACACACTTCCTTGTGATAATATAAGTTATTAGTGGTGTGCTGGTCTCCTTTGGGAAGGAGGGGTGCAGCCGAAGCCTAGTTTGTGTTTTGGTACTGATCCTGTCCTGGCTGAGGGCCTTTTCATGTCAGAACTCATTGGGAATTGCAGCCCTTGGCAGTGATGGTGGCTCAGCAGTCCTGTGCCATGCCTTCCCCTGCCCATGGTTGCCCCATCCCACTAGTCTCTTTTTTTCTGCTGCTGCAAGTAAGCACTTCAGAACATCTGTGTCAGATTTTCATCCAATGCAGGTTCATTGACTTAACTAGATTTACTTCAGCAAACTCATGTTTCTGTGCTTGTTTATTCACCCCTTCTCTTATTAGCTCCTAATGTGGAAATTGGTGTTTTTCTCAGTTGTGAATTCTCACCTTCAGCAGAGGCTGAGACAGCAGATACCAACAGTTTCTCTAGTGTTGGTCCCTTGTTGCCAGAGTTGCTGGACAAGCAGTTCTCAGCTCAGGGGTGGCTTGCTTGGACCTTCCCTGTCCTGTCACCTGCTCAGAGCTCAGTCAGCCCCGCTGGTTCCAGGGTCTCTTTCCTCGCCAGGTGAGGATCCCACTTTACCTTCTGTGGCTGAAGAGCAGAGTGCTGCCTCCATGCCACTGCCAACGCCTCTGCTGGGAGCTTGCTGAGGTTTTTGTAAAGATATACACTGCATTTGTAATATTTTAAGAACTTGTCAACATGGAAACTGGGATGATTATTTATCCAAGCCTTTGCAAGACATTTTTGTTTTGTTTTTAAAAAACTGTTAAGCATGTCAAGCCTTTTCTAAGCTATGATGGAAAGATTAATTGCATTTCAGCAAGGACAAAACAGCAATTTAAGAACAAACACTGGGTTGTTGGGTTTTTTTTAACAACTTTGAATTTGCAGGAGTAATTTTTTTAAATATTCCCTCCCATTAAAATAATTGCTTATTTAAAAATAGTTAAAACCAGTATCATACATATAATTTGCTATAGCTGACTAAAAAGCATATGACTATGATATGTTTTTAAATTTTGAAATTCCTGGCTAAAATTTTCTAATAGAAAAATACAGCATTTGGAGAGGCCAAGCAAACAGACTTCTCGGCCCACACATGTATTCTTTCTCTTTTTTCTTTTTTTTTTCCTTGAGAAAGCTATGAGTCTGAAAATCATATTTAATGAGAAGATGGAGTTTGAAAAACAGCTTGAGAAAAATTGCATACAAATTTTACTGAAGATCCATAATTCTTCAGAGTATTTTTTTGCAGTTTTAACATCTCTCTCTGGTAAATAAAAGAAATAAATAAAAAGGCATATAATGACCAACAGTATTTGACAAATAGTGTCTCACTTTAAGGGAAATAGAAATAAAATCTGCTTTAACATTAGAATTCAAAGATAGCATAGTCATTTCAAGCTGATATCCATTTGAAACTGATGTGATTTATTCTGAGGCAAAACTGAGCTTTTTCATGCTGAAAATTTTTTTTTTTTTTTAGAATTTTCCTTGGGTCTAGTGCAGATGTTTGTAATGTTGTTATGCTTGTGGGTGATCTGAATGCTAGAAAAGATTATTTTTTTTTCTTCCTTTCTTTAAAAATTAACAAAGAACTAATTAAGGCAAAGCTCAGGAATTGAATTCAAAGTTTGCATTGCACATGTGAACTAATCTTCTTACAATGATATCTTATGAAAGCTGTGTAAGAACACCATTCATGCCAGGTTGCACCCAGGAGATCATTCCTAGAAAAGCGGCTGCATGAAGATTTGTCATAAACAAGCAATAAAGACTTTCAGGAAACAGGTTCTGTACAGGCTTCTTGTTTGCCTACTAAATCATTAACCTGCAGAAGCCCATCTGTAGCCTTAGCAGGCACTGGCTGTAATAGACATGTCAGCAGTACTTCATGCTAAGAACAGCTTTTACTTAAGGGATGGTACCACAGAGCTCTTAAGGGCAAAGAACTGCTGGTTTAATGCAGTACATTCTCTAATGTCCTTTTATGCCACATGCTGAATCTCTGAGCATGCTAAAATGAGGCAAGCTAACTGATGAGGAGTAGGGGATTTTTGAAGCAAAATGGCTGTGTGTGCTTTAGGAGCAGCAACTGTGTTTGGAGAGCTTTCTTTGGGTCTTGAAATATTAATGATCTTGGATTAATATAGAGGAAAACAAAATACCATGCATGAAACTGTGGAGGGGAATCCTTGATTTACAGACTGACCTTGCAGTACTCACTGTATGCATGTATTCCCTTTTAAACCACTGAGTCTGAAAAGACAGTGAGGATGAATGGTCGCAAAAATCTTTCCCTTTGGCATTTTCCTACCTTTCCAGCAGTGATATAGCTTGAGCAGGATATTCAGCCTTGTACTAGACTGTTTATCTTCTAAATATGCTAATACTAAGAAGATGCAAAAGACAGCTCTTCATTTAATAAGTTCTATATTCATATTAACAGTAATATTAGAGTTTACATGTTTTCTTTTAAAAACCTTGAGTAATAGCAGTATTTTTGTGGATAGGAACAGTCAGCCTGGTCTCCTTTTGTATTCTGTTTTTTTTCCATGCCTAATCTTTATATATGGGAGCAAGATTCCTCCTTTTGGTGTCTGTCGTGGTCATATACAGGATTAGGTGTATTTCTGATCTGAGCTGTGACAGTGAAAACCAGGAATAATATCACAGATCAGCATCTGCCATTTGCTGCTGTTGTTAAACTAGACACAAGAGGACATGTAGTGGTAGTACAACTTGCCAAATATTGAAAAGTGTATAAAAAATAAAAGGTAATTTTCCATGGTGGAGTTTTTTTGTTGTTTTTTTTTTCCTGGGCACTTCACATCAGAAGCAGAATAAGCTTTTTTACCCTAGTTGCCTTTGTGCACTGCGACTGCCTGGCTGGTAGGCTGTACCCGGTGGGTTTGTGTTTGCGTTCAGGGTCTCTGATGGCGGGGAGCCTGGGTCTGACCTCCATGATTCTTCCTGGTTTCTGATTTTAATCAGAACCCCAAGGCCATTTGAAGCATGGCCACAAAGCCTACCTTGCAAGTTGACTACCTTGCAAGTTGAACCTTACCTAATAACATGATGCATGTAAACTCTGGAAGCATAAATCTTTGTCATTTGAGCAATGTGTTTTTGTAAGATCCTCTGCTCCAGTGACAGCTGCAGCGAGTGAAAGCGGAGTGATCATCCAGCTGCCTTACGGGGTGCAAGGCACGTCGTGAAGTTAGAAGTTGTTAAGGAAATTCTGTAAATGGCTTTGGTTAATAAGAGTGAAGTAACTTGCTGTTTCAGAAATGTTACTGAAATCTCTCTCCTTTTCCTAGTGGAGGGCTTCATAAGAGCAAGAGGAAAGAACAAGGGGGTCTAAGGGAAGGGGGAAGAGCAAGCCCGAGCTGTGCAGAGGGCTGTGACCCATGTACCAGAGCCCCCACGTAGCAGGGGAACCCTAAAGGTAGTGTAGGTGATAAATGACAACATGTGAGAGTGAGTCACACAGTAAATACTGGGAATAACCTTTCCTTCTTACATGTTCGTGTGCTGGGGTATGTTCTCTGTTCTCTGTAACACTGAAAGCCAGTGATGGTGGGCTTTTATCTCTAGCCAAGGGAGAAATTTCTAGGATGACATACCTGTTAGCCACTATTAAAATGTGTTATTAATGATGCTAACGAGTTTTTTCCAGGTGATGTAAAAGTAGCCATTAATGTAAGCACTGCATTTAGGAATACGATATTACTGAAAGCTTGCCAGCCCCATGTGGGACCTGGTGGCAGAGGTGAAGTTATTGCTGTGCCCTGGATTTGAGGAGGAGAGAGCATTGCTGACTTCCTCCCTTGGGGAGAAAGAGCCAAATGAATTCTCCCTTTCCAGGAGGGAGACGTGCCATTTTCAGGAATGTTAAGCTGGGGCCCTTGATGCCAATCCCAATGGGTTCCTGTCCCACTCCCTCTTAAAAATTGGCAGTGTTTGACTGTCAGCTGCTGTTCCTTAAGTGGTCATAGAATAAACCAATTGCACCCTTTTTGTCCTCTGTGTGTGTGTGTATGCAGGTGAACATGGGTTAAGCAACATGCAGCTTCACGGTAAGCACAAAGGCAGCTGATTTTCTGGCACTTGTCAATAAAGAGTATAATATATATATTTATTTTTTTTATTATTATTATTTTTTACCATCTCCAAAACAGCTTTTAAAATGGCTCTCGCTGGAATTAGAAATCTGTATCCCCTGACATAGGATTACTCATTAAGAGGATGATGATTGTTAGTTCTTCACCTGAGGCTAAGAGGACATCATTAGACCTCTTTGAAATATCTCTTGCCTTGATTTTGAATAACTAAGCCAGCAATTTATGATTGCAGCCAGGGCAAGTAACATTCTCCCTTCCTGTTCCTCCATCTAGCTTGCAAAATCGGATACTACAAGGCGCTCTCGACAGATGTTGCTTGTGCCAAATGCCCGCCTCACAGCTACTCCATCTGGGAAGGCTCTACCTCCTGCACCTGCGAGCGGGGCTTTTTCCGAGCTGAAAATGATGCTGCGTCCATGCCCTGCACTCGTAAGTTGGTCTTTGAACAGTCCCTTCTCCTTTTGTCCTCCATTTCTTCTCCTGTGTTTTCTTTCGCTGCGTATGTAGGAGTTACTGCCTGGAGTTCTATGTCTAAGAAGGGTCCTGCTACTGAGAACAGGATTCAGTAGCTCTTACAACCCTCTGCAGATGCAGTTTGTTTTGGATCACACTTCTGGGAGAGAGAAGATTAGTTCTCAGCCCTGAATTCCTGACAGTGACATGGTTGCTCTGACCCTTGAGAGCTTATAGCCTAAATAAATTAGAAGACTGGGAGACCAAGCCAAAAAAGAGGAGTGACTCACACACCTCAGTAGCAGAGTTGGGAATAAAATGCCAGACTAAGTTCCAGTCAGAGGGACCTGTTCAGTAGATCACGTGACCTTTAATCTCTTAAAATATTGATATTTCTAGAAATTGTGAAAGCTTTTCTCGTAATTGTATGACCTAGGTAAATAGGTAATGTTTATAGTCTCATTAAATATCTAATTTGCTGAAAATACAGCTTGTGACCCTTAAGAACACAAGCATTTGTCTGAAAGGGATTTTAATAATGAATCTTAAGCCTTAATGAAACAAACACTAAGGTATGTTTATATAGAATCATAGAGTGATTAAGGTTGGAAGAGACTTTAAAGATCATCAGGTTCCAACCTCCCTGCTATGAGCAGGGACACCATCCACTAGACCAGGTTGCACAAAGCCGCATCCAACCTAGCACTGAACATCTCTAGGGAGGGGGCATCCACAACCTCCCTGGGCAACCTATTCCAGTGTTTGGAATCCTTTGTAGATAAATACATAATGTATTTACGTATTGTAATGCAGCAAATGGAATTTGCTTTAGTTCCACCAAAATGCCTTCAATAGGGAGAACAAGAAGTGTAGTGTGCTGAGCACGCCCACGGGTTGCTGGAACTACTGCCTGTCCTATGTGTTTGTTAACACAGCTGAAGACCTAGGATTCCAGACACGTCCTGGTGTTAAATTGCGATCATCTAGTCCTTTGGTTTTTACTTCTATAGAGCAGTTTAAAACAGTAAGTGAAAGGGCTGTGTTTTACTACTGGAAATGCTTCCAGATTTTTGGAGTTTAGCTATATATTTGTGCAGAGTGTGTGTGGGTCTGTGAGGGAGGGAAGGCTGAGATATTTCTTTTGTAACAATTTAATATATTCCAAATTAATTTTGGATAGATGACTCACATTATTTAAATCTTAATTTCTCCCTTACAAGGCATAAACAAAGTATGTCCATAACTAAGCCAGCACATATCCCTTCCCACACTCCCTTGATTCCAGCTTCTTCAGTGGTCTCCTTTTCAGCTGTGAGTTTTGCTGGGTGGTGGTTAAGCAGGTCTGGGCATAGCCAGGAGCAGCTGCTTTTGCTCAGTGGGGAAGCGTAGAGGTCTGTACATCCCTTGCCAAATGCTGGCTGGGTATAGAGGTCTGACTGTATTGTGAAACCTTGCTGAAGTGGGTAGGAACATGCTTTTTACAATTTACCACCAGTGTACACTAGGAGATACAAAGCTTTACCATTTTGATAGGAAAAAGTCTTTTTGCAAGAATAAAACTATTGTTTAGAAGGTACACCCTAAACATTATATCATCAAAAGTTTCTCCTAAAGACCTGGTCCTAGTGGGTGATATCCTGACCAAACTGAAATCAAATTAGTAATCAGCTGGTTGACTTTAAATAGGCGTGTGCAGTGAGAAAAGTATGAGAAGAGAGCAAACCATTTCCAGATGGGGGAATTGTAAGCAAATTATATGTATATTTGCTTGTGTTAAAAAATGTAGCCCTGCAAGCTTAGCCCTTTTTTGTCAAATTGTGGGCCTACTGGCACACTTCCCCATTCCTGTCTTTAGAGGTCAGTCCAAGCTGAAGTCCCGAATCTTGGTCTTTCACTCTGAAAACAGGGGGAAGAAGAAAAGGCAAGGGCTGTCATGCTGGCTTCAGTCTTTATCTCTGCATCTAGCAGCCTAGGAGGAGTTGGCACACAGAGGCAAGCCAGCACCAAAATCTCATGGACACCTGGTCTTGGAAAGCAGACCTGTGTCTCTGAAGGTCCTATTTCATAGCTTTAAATGTTTGTGTAGCTTAAGGGCTTCTTTTTCTATGATCCAAGGTGAAAGAAGGCACAGAGGTTATTTCTGAGCTGGCTTGCTGGGCGGCCCTTCTCCCCCATCCATTGCTGTGCTCTCTAGTATCCCCTCTTTGAGGTCTGCTTTAGCAGTCTTTGAAAGTTGCTACCATAGTGGTCCCTGCACGGGCACCAAATGCAGTCCTGTGTGCGTGGTGCACCTCTGCGTCGTGCGTGGGACTCCGGGGGGGGCTGTTTGTGCTCCCCACACCGAGTAGCCTTCTGCCCATTCACCTGAGGCGAGTGACAGAAAGCATTTAGAGGGCCTCTGCTGAAGGAAGCCCCTCCGGAAGAAGCTCCCCGTTTGTCTGCCTTTCCTGACAAGATGTGGAGACAGAAGGGAGCGTAAACATCAAAGGTTCTTTCAGACAGATTCAGACTCTAATAAGTTCTTACCAGTTGGTTAAACCAGGTGACAAACCCAGTTCCCATGTGCTGACAGCCATAATAATCAGGCACCTTCTTTGTTCATTATGCTCTCTTTAACCCTGGTATTCTCATTCAGTCCTGCATTTAGTAATCACTCAGTGTGACGGAGCACTAATGAAGAAATAAAACACAGTATCTGAGATCCATTCTTCTAGCAAAAAGATAGACTCTGCTCCACTGGCTTGTAAAATCAGGTTTCTGTTCACTTGGAGAACTATTAGACCAGGTGAATAAATGTAACATTGGGTAATTTGGAGAGAACACCTGGAATGGACTGTGGATTGATCCCTTCTTTATTATTTCTAAACACTTTTTTTAAGATTAAGAACTTCAACCTTCTTAGGATGTGTTTTTGTAAAGCTTTGACCCTTGGCTATTGATTTCCTTTAGTAATAAACTGGCTGGCCTTCTCGCTTACCTTGCCTTCTAGGTTGTGGGAGGAAGACCACTATGACTTTCCATTAGCGTGATTGTGGTAGAAGATGAAAGAGAACTGGAGAATTCTTCTTCCTTTTCCTTTCTTGCAATTCCCACACCACCTACTTCCTGATGTGCTGGTCAGCAGAGGTGCTTCAGAGGTTTCTCATTCTGTAACATTGCTCTGACATTTACATCTGTTGTTGAGTTTTAAAAACTGTGCCTAACCTTCAGGTAAGCCAGGCTTGCAATCTAAACAAGTAACTCTAGCTCTGGTTTTAGTATTCTGCTCTATTTTAGCTCTGCTAGAGTGAGTTGCTATATCTGGCGTAAAGCTTGTACAAGTAAGAACAGAAAGTGGCAGGATGTAAGTCTAGGAGACAGTGGAGTGGGCTGAGTCAGGAGGCCAGCCATAGACACCCTGACACACACATGTTTACTGAGGCATCTTTTCCCTCAAAGTTGCCTTCTGGGGATAATCATCATGTCCATAACCACTGAAGAGCAGATCTGCCCTGGATCTGCCACTTTGGCCTAACTCAGGAATTTAAACTTCCAACTCTGAAGCACAATGAGCTTGTCAGCTGTGTACTTGGGTGTGGAGATGGTATGATTGACCTGTAATACACTTGAGCACAAACTGTGGAAGACAGAGATGCCTTACCCTTTTGGAAGCAACACAAAAATAGTATAGGCAGCTATTCAGACCTTCATTGTATTTCAGTATTTGCTGAGAGGATGTGCCTTTCATAAGGTTAGCAATCTAATGGAGAATAAATTGCCTTGCCAACACACAAAACCATGAGGCTGGAAAATAATCAGTCTCAGTCATGGTCCTCATCCTTGGATTTCCTTCTCCGTAAGGAGATACTCTGTGAATTGCAGCCTAGTGCAGGCAGGTGCAGTTCCCACCCAAGTTAATGGGCATTGGTCCTGCGTCCTCACCATTAAATGAGTTGGGTTCTGTAACTGCTTCTTAGCAAACAATGCTCACATTATAAGTTAGAGCAGGATGGTTTTGTATTGTCTATATTGTCTGTTTGATTCAGGTTATTAATGATTTTTAATTGGGAGCCCTTTACAAAAGAGAGATTACTAGCATAGGCTGTCCAGCTTGAAATTTGTCTCAGTAAATGACCCTGAATAATCTAGTCTGTTGTGCCACCCAAGCAGTGACTGATTGATATTTTGTTGTGACCTGAAATATTTCTAAAACGGTTGCATTTGAGACAGTTTATACTGGAGGAGCTTAGAGATAATGAGAGCAAATTTAGTGAGATGCAAGAGAAAAGTGCCTGCTGTAAAAGGGCTTTCTCCAGTTTGGGTTATCAAGAAATCGAAGAGCCTGACTTCAAACAGCAAACGTCACTTACTTGTCTTTACATTTGCCTCTTCTAATTGAATTTAGTGCACTGCTGTATTTCCTCCAGAAAGTGTATTGTTTTTAAATTACCGTTTCAGTGCTATTACTCAAGGCTCCTGCTTCTAATACTTTCTGACAGTTATCAGCATAATGAACCATAATGAAACGATGAGCAATCTACAGTGGAAACTCAATGTGGATTCCACTAGAGCTGTGTGACTGTGTTGTTAAAATTTGAATGCACATTAAAATAACACCGTCCTTACTTGTTTCCAAGGTCAACACTTTAAGAAAGGTCTGAACACTTCAATTTCGTAAATGTTACAGTCTAATATACGCCCTTAGTGTGATCTTGTGTTGCATTTAATATATCTCAGAGATAAATATTTGACCTACATTTTCAAAAAGAGTGAATTTGCCTACCTAATAACTGTGATTGCAAATGAGTAATTACACAGGAGCTAATTATTTGAGCATTTTATTATGATGGCTTAGACTTTTAAACAAACAAGTGTGCTCCTTTTCCTTCAACTTAACTTGTGTGTCGTCTAAATTTCCAGACAGACGCTGATTATCACTCTTCTAGCTTTTAGAAGAAAAAGAAAGGGTACAATGTGCAGGCATGCTTGATAGTATG